AAATGACTGCAGTGGCGACTCGGTCAAGGACGAATTCTACCGGGATCTACATCAGCTGTTGACTAATGTGCTAGAAAGTCGGATGTTCTTGTTCTTGCTGGGTATTTAAATGCACCGGTTGACCGCCTGTTACCATACGAACGCCACCTTGATGGTCACCACGCGCTCGATGAGAACTTCTCTGATAACGAAGATAGGCTTCTCACATTGTGCGAAGGTAACCATCTGTTTCTCTCGAGCACTAACTTCAGGCGTACGAAGAAGCGTTCCGCAATGTGGCGTCCCTTTTCGCCAAAACAACTATGGTCTCAAATTTATCACATTGCAATTAGCTTTAGATGGCGGGCAGCGTACTGCACTGCAGGTCCTTTTGGTCCACTCAGATCATGCACTAGTCTGCGCGGAAATCTGCATTTGGGGGGGTCCCGAAACACGAAGCACCGCAAGATTGATGTTAACAGATTAATTGATTCCTCTGTCCAGGCGAGCTATCAGTCTTCACTAGCATACGCACTCATTTGCAATTCACCGCAAGAAGTGGAACAACATTGGACTTGTATACGGAAAGCGATTACCATTTCCGGACAGTCAAGCTACGGCCTAACTCGACGCCCCTTGAAGGCTTGGATCTCTGCTCGTTCTCTGGAGCTGTTCGAACGCCGCATATATATCCCAGCGGAATCAGACTGCAACGAGCGGCGCCGTCCTTCCAACCGGCTGCTCAAGCAAAGCCTACGCAAGGATCGCGAGACATGGTGGTCCGAGTGTGCTTTAGAGATGGAGACCGCTATCTCTCTGGCAACACTCGCAAGCTTTTCCAACTCATTCGGTCCCCTGGCCACAGGAAGCCTGGTGTCACTGAGGTTACTTGCGAGGTGGATGAGTTTTTGATCACCAACCAACAGAGACGTATGGACCGCTGGGCCGAGCACTTTCACTCGCAGTTCAACTGGCCTTCACCGTACATGCAGTACACCTTGTTGTCCACTCTGGCTCCTCCCACTGAATCCACCTAGCGAAGCGGAAGTCTGCCTCGAAATTCGACACTTGAAGCGGTTCAAAGCTGCCGGCTCAGACGGACTTCCTCCGCAGCTTTTCAAATACGGTGGCGTGTCGATCAATAAGCAGTTGACCTAGCTGTTTTCAACGATCTGGTCTGAAGAGGAAGGACCTTCCTCTTGGGGCGAATCAGTTATTGTCCCGATTTTCAAGAATCGCTCACACTTCATGTGTAAATCATCGCGGGATCAGTTTTCTTTCGCTTGCCTCCAAGCTTTTGGCATCCATTCTGCTCCGTAGACTATTCCCAATGCGTGAATCATCCTACCATGAATAACAAGCTGGTTTCCGTTCCGGCCGCGGATACGTGGATCAAATGTTCACTCCACCAGCTCCTCGAACATCGCCACATTTATCACAGGCTCACTATCGTTGTATTCCTTGACATACGTGCCGCTTTTGACTCCGTTGATCGACCTGCCTTATGGCGTTGTTTGCTAAAGAACGGAGTGCCAGAAAAATATACCGCCATCTTTACGAGCACTTTACCTTCATACATTCGGCAGAGCAAGGGTCTGTAGCAAGCTTTTCTCACAATTCGCTGTCATTAGCGGTGTGCGACAGGGCTGCCCTATTTCCCCATTCCTCTTCAACTTCGCAATCGAAGACCTTTTGTCGAGTGCTCCAGAAGATTTCCAACAATTTGGCCTAGAGCTTCTACCGAGTGAGCGCGCGACGGACTTAGATTATGCTGATGATATCGATTTATTTGGTGACCATCCTCAGGGTATGCAACTCAGTCTAGGTCGTTTGGCGGTTGAAGTATCTAAGTATGGCATGAGCTTCGCCCCATCGAAGGGTAAAATACTGCTCAAGGATTGCCATTCACCTACTCACGTGCTCACTCTCGGTGCACAACTTGAACAGGTAGATAGTTTCGTGTACCTTGGGAGCTGTGTTTCTGCTGACTGCACTATCAGCAAAGAAGTTTCTCTTCGTATCGCTACAGCCCATCAGCATTTGCCAATCTGAGGCACTTGTGACGTCTTCGCGACGTCTGGTTCTCACTAAAGGGTCGCGTTTACAGCGCATCTGTGCGCTGAGTGTTGTTGTGTGGGAGCGAGTCCTGGCTGATTCGCGTGCAAGACATGCGCCGTCTTTTTGCCTTCGATAACGGTTGCTTAAGGAGGATTGATTGTGTTTGGTGGCAACATCGAATTAACAGTAATGATGTTCGACGTCGCATCTTGGGGAATGCGAGTATTCCCTTCAACAAACTGGTTTTATTACGTCGGTTGAGATGACTCGGTCATGTCCTACGCATGGCACCTGAACGTCTACCGCGTCGCGGTCTATTCGCTCCTTAAGGATCTGGCTGGAGGCGACCGCGTGGTGGTCAGCCTTCCAATTGGCGGCAGCACATTAAATCGCTGATGTCGTGTCTAGCTGCTGTTGGACCCCTACGTCTTCCAGGATGGGGACCCAAAGAAGAGGAGTGCCAATGATTTAACACTCTTGAAGACATGGCCCGCAACCAGAATCATTGGAAAAATTGTGTACAGGATTGTATTGATTCACATGTTTAATACTTCAAACATTAAAAATGACAAAAAGGTAGAAAAATCGGTGTGTGAAAAACAAACTAAAATTTTTTTGTTCTGTTTTTCGTCAATATGTTCCTTACTTCCTACGGTATATTAGCTGAAGTATGTTGCTCCGCTTCAACTAATATGTCACGATGATTATAACGCGATGACTTTCTCTTATCCACTGACTTCTATGGTTTTTATTGGCTTTATGTCCAGTTGTTTAGCGTCTCTTTTTCATGTCTTACACTTTTTTGTTACGGTAGTTGATGTGTGTTTCTCACCATCAGCTAACGTATAATGATGGTAACTATGATGTATGCCCAGATCCGCTTTTAAACCTCGGGCACACATTCGTGCGATGTTCTGACGCTGCATGTAAGTAGCTTGACGGTGGAACTCGGATTTGCTTACGTCCTGGTTGCAATCTGTAAGGCTGTGCATCATCAGAACTATTGCTCAACTTCTTCATGTCCAGTTGCTCAGAGATCCGAATCGCACAGTCATTCGTTTCTGAATGTAATTCGGGTCGCTTCCTCTACGCATGCGGTGCGTGCATCCCACTCTGGATTAAGCGCGAACAAAAGAACGAGATGTCTCCTTGCGGTTGAGCTTTTTGAGCTGTCCTCGGGGAAACAACAGCTGTCAATATATACGGGTTTCCAAATTGTGATCGGCGACTGCCTGCAGTCAGATCTATTCAGACTTGCAAGCATTGAAGGTAACCGACTTGAATTGGAATTATTACGCTAGAAAATATTTTCCAGCATAGTTAGGAAGTATGCGCATTCCCTGACATGCCTGTTAGTGCGGTTGAGTGTCAGGCAACCTGTCGTGTATTCGGAAATTGGAAAGTCCGCCCACACGTGTCCACACTCATGTTTCTTTTCCACACATCCACATGAAAGCCAGGATACTACCAGCGCATCTAAACCTAGGTAGCGCGAGGACACGAATTTGTGGAACAGAGATTGTAAGCTAGCCGCCCTGGCCAACGCGCTACGAAATGACTGCCAATGCAAGAGATCTGAACAGATGCGGAACAAAGAACTTGGCTTGTATTGTGGTGTTGAAGTGTGGTTTAGTGGAGATAGCCAGAGTTTCTTTGAGGATCCAGCTGACTGGCTAGTGATCTTCCATACTTTAGATCACTAGTTGTTCACAATAAGTTGACACTGTCACCGTATCGAGCGCATCATTCCTGAGTTGGGTATGACAGATACCCTCAACCAGTTGTTGACAATCCATATCTTCGCTTCGTTTCTAGTGCCATTTTTTCCACTACAATTCATTCAGAAGCGTTACTTTATCCATTCTGATCAATGTACTTTTATATTTGGGGCCTTAATGATGTTTGCTAAGACGGGTCCGCACGTTCACCCACAAACTTAAAACTTGAACTATAACTCTTTTTCAAATTCAGGGTGTGGCTTTCCACCCTGTATTGTGAGCTTCTCGTTCACCTTCCCACTTCAGCCACTTATTACCTTAACTGAAGAATTTTGTTTATGCTTTTCAATACATTATGTTATATCCAAAGGAAGAGTTAATTGTATGCAGTTTAAGGTATCAGCAGTTCATCGGTCTCGTAGCCATCAGCTGTTTTGCACCACTGGGAAAACTACAGAACCCTTCCGAAGTACCTGCAACGTGGAGAAGGAGTATGAAGAAGGCGACCTCAAATTTGGCAGCAGTCGGACCAGTCCGCCTTCCAGGTTGGGGACCACGAGATGCTGAATTGCAGTGGTTGGAAACATTGGACGTCATGGCCCGCAACAGACATCAGTGGCGGCAATGTTGTTCCGCAATTTCACCATCCCTTTGATACACACAAAAACTCACAAAACAAAACAAAAAATACAAAATGGCGTGTGTAAAACCAAAAAATTCGTTTCCCATATTTTTAATCGCATTAGTGTCCCCATCTTCTTCACCTTTTTCTTCTGCCATGGTTCTGATGGCACAATGTCTGTTAACAGACTGTGAATAAATATATATACCTGCAATGTCTACTTTGTTAACTGTTTCTAACGTCTGATTATAGTTTACTGCTGAAATTCGTTATCCTTTCAGTGAAACCTCTGTTTACCCAACTTTCGAGAGTTTGCCTTAATAACTCCTGACTTGCATCTCTGACTTGCTTCATTTACGTGAGGATCCCTAGCGTATTGCCTCAGACAAAAATGAGTAAATAATGGTCGACCAATGACAGGTCTTTTTTAGTGGTTATGTATTCGAGACTTTTAGTCCCTACCTCCAGCTTTCAGCCTTTTTCTATTCATAGATTAGGGCTCCCATAGCCCTTTTACACCGAAAAGTGTCGCGCACACAATGTGCTGATGTACTACTGCTAACTTTACTGCTGGAAGACGTTGATATCTCTGAACTGTTCCTCTTTTTTCTTGGACGTTTCAGATGTTTTTCAACTTTGACTCCTGCTTACGGTACGTCTTTCCCCCACTCCAAGGAGCACATGGTTTCATCGGCTTGTTATAGAGTTTTGAATTGAAGTGTTTGGAAAAGCACTTGGCGCGCGCTTCATTCCCAAGCGACACGATGCGCATGGTTGTGCTCCCGTGCGCGCCAGGATAAGCGATGTGCACACGGGGAGATCATGGTACTCCTTTCATATCCTCTATTTACGCTTCTCGAAGTTGCTGCCATCCGATCACCGTTCCGTGTTGTGTCCGACTTTCTTCAGAGCCTTCAAACTGTTATTGTGACTTATTTTGCCAACGTACACGTGCCTTTACAATTCGAGGTTCCAGTCCCATTCAAACTAGCAATGCTATTTTGCGGGAAATCAGGCTTTTGTTTTGTGCGCTGATCATTTGCATCAGTTGGTCGATACAGGCGTGTTGCGCCACCGACATTCGGGCAGATTCGGATTCATCGCGACACTCTCAATCCCATTCCACTGGTGTAAATCTGAGCGTTTGGAATTATCCTGAGGTTATGTTCTCTTTGGCTGCATACAGTGAGACCAACAGGTCACCTGATCGTGCTAAACGTGGTTCCGCGTCTAGCAACTCAAAACCACTGCGTAATAGGATGCAAACACATGTTCTTTCTGAATCGAATGGCTCCCTGGCGTCTTCCGATAAAGTTGAACTGAAGTTTCTCACTGACGAACTGGTTGATTTCGTCTGTCACCGGTTACCCGATTCATGTACCCGTGCAGCCTACTTACGTCGACATGTGCGGCATTCCCTGTGCATCCATCTCCCAATTCTTTATCTTCTACCTCATGTTGCAATTTTGATCAATCAGCCGAATATTTCCCGTGCAGCTCACCGAACCAATTTGTGTAATGGCGCACTAGGAAGCTTAAAGTTCACTGAGTCCGATCATCATTTTGATCTCTGGTTGAACTCTGCGCAAATGTGCGAGCAAAGTCTCACGCAACTTCTGTCACTTATCACGGATCGTCTGGAGGAGGAATTTATTGATTTTGACAAATTATTGGCCAAATCATTCTGCAAATTAGAATCCGATGCGAACTACAACGCAACGGGGGAATTCCGGTGTGAAGAGTGCCGAGTAAGTGTGTTGCTTTCTGCGCGAGCCGTACATTAGTATATTTTGACAGCACATAGGAATCGATCATTGCCGATTCCGTTCATGAGCTCACCATTGATCTGCTTTTTGTTCATCTTCCCTTTAGGTGAACTTTTCCTACTCTTCTCCATTTAAGAGAAACCGGTGTATAGTGAGGAACCGAGATGTCAGTAGTAGTCTGTTTCGCCTATCCACTCTACTGCATGCAACAAGCAAGGTGGCCATTTTGGACTTCCACAGTAGCTGATAAAAAATGAAGATGCGGTTTGAGGATAGCACTAAAAGCCTTTCCACTCTGCAGCTTTAAGGAACGATTTCTTTTGTCGTAGGATCTAAAGCACCTTAGGGTCTTCCACCGTCATTTTCTGTGGATTGGAGCATTCCTCATGTGCGCTGATACCAGCTTAGCACCAAGGATGAAACTCGCCTGCTGGTACCAGACCACTAGGACAAATAAGGTTGGATGTGTTTGCGTTAGTTCGATACGTGCAATGTATGCCCGTCCACCGCTTGCTAGTAACCACCCTGTTTTGCTTACCAAGTGTAGGGTGACGAAAAGCCCAAGAGGGAAATTGGTGATACAGCTGCGGAAAGTAATGTTACTTACCACTATACCTTTTCTCAGTCAGTTGCATGCATAACAGTTTCGAGTTCTTGAAAAAAATCATGTTTATCCACAGATTTCACAAAACGGTCCTGAACCCTATGAAATCGTATCCAACGGGCGCGAATGCCCCTAAACGCTACTGTTCCTTGAGTGACGAGTCCCAAATCAACCAGTAACCTCCCACTCTGTAAACTTATCCGTCATACCACCGGCTGCTTTGAAATCGATCATTCAACAACAAGCGTTTTTTAGCAGCACTTTCCCCCGTTAGATGCAACTCGATTGCGTTAAGGACCATCTTTAGAGATTCATGGATGAACATGATTTTCTTAAAGAGAAATTTGTAAGCTCCATGAATGCAGTTAACTTGGACAAAGTTTAAAAACGCGCTGTTACTGCGGGGCACTGCAATCAACGCACTTTTAGCTGTCTTTTATCGATTCTTATCTGTGTGGCAATGTTAGCATGGCTCAGCGATCCAAGCCGCAGTGTTCGTCTTGGACCTTTAGAGTAATTCCTACCAGATTGGTCAATGGTTAGAAGCCAGGCAAACTCCATCTCCTGGTTGGGGAGGTTGAAGTGAGGGTGACTCTTTTCTCCATAAAACGGACTTTCTGTGGCCCAATGCCACAACGCCGCTGCCTTGCTGTCAGGTTTTTGTGCGAAATACTTTAGTTGAGGACCCTATTCGTTTTCCTGTCTAGCCCTGGGAAACTTGGTAGTATCCTGCCTTCGGAATATGACGAAGCCTTCTTCGAATATTTTATTGATGCTCTGGACTTTGCAGTGGGTAATCTGTGATGCCTTAGCTACATCATCAAGTGGGGCTGTCGATGCGGCACAATTTGTGAGGTGTTTCTCACCTCTGATAACGTGTAGAAGAATGCTGCTAGTGTATAACCTTTTTTATCTTTGTTTTATTCATTCTTTTATTTTCTAGGTATTAGGTGGCTTTTCATCAACCTTTCGGTAATCAAATTTTTCTCCTCTTATAATATTTACGTTAACAGTGTCTTCTCCACTACACTCACACTCATTTAATCTGCTCACTCTTTCGGTAAACTTTCATACCTCTTTACGTTCGTTGATCTCACTTGATTTTCTGTGAGCCGGTTTTACTTGTCGAATGATTTTTCGTCTGTTGTTTAAAACACACTAGTGACAACTTTTGATACTTGCTTCTTTTGTATTCATAAATACTCGAACACACAGAACTCATGGGCGATGAATATACGCCATAGCTGAATGTATCACATCATGGCAGTGATACCTTCTGCCTCCCATCCCATACTATTCGCGGTGCACATCCGTATTCTCAGCTGTTTCACATCTGTTAGATTTGTTTTATTGATTCGCGGGCGTTTTTCTCTGTTTCCTTTGCGGCTTTGTAATCGTTATCTGTTTGCCACTTCTGTTATCACCATGCCCCGCTGGCCTACCCCAATCACACACACACACACACGCTCACATCCTTATTTTGAGAGCTGTGTATCGTTCGTTTACATTGGGTTTAACTGACCGATAAGGCGGCGATGTACGCGAGGCTGAATACATACCACCACCATTCACCCCTAATTTGCTTACATCTCGCAAACATCGCTGAGTGAATCCGATTAATCGTGTTGATCTGACAACATAATGTAACATTTACTTCACCTATACACTTTCACAGCTCTGTGTAGCATTTTTTAAAATCCTAGTTAGTTCTTTTGTCCACACCGCTCCACATTCCCCAACTATCTGAGGTGTCTTTGTTTCACACACTTACTCGCCATTTAACTTATAAACGTGTTCATCAAATTGAATGTGCACATTACACTTGATTTCATCCTCGTGGTTCGCAAATTCAAATCTCTCACGAGTTCTCAGTGGTCCGATGATCTTCCATTTTTCCCTTGTTGTTGGTGAGCTCACCACAATCCCGTTTAATCGACTTTATAGCAAGCGATATCATCCCGTATCATGCATTAGTCATGGCACAGTTCACTTCCAACATTTTTCAGTAGATCTGTTGAGGTCTGTTCACCATTATGCGGTCGATCCCAAAAGCTTGACTTGCATTTATGCAAGTGAATGATGATCACGAGGGCTGAACAAGTAGTGTCATCGTCACCATGTGTAAGGGGCATGCATGCGTCGTGTGCATAAGTCTCACTAAATTCGCGACGGCACTATGCCCGTTGACATCTCAGGCCGGTAACGTCCTCTGTCCCGGGATCCCCATCCAGGAGGATAAAACGCACGAGTCCTACATGACCTTTACGTCATCGCTTTAGTAACAGAAAAGCAATATCAGCAGTACACCAATACGTTATATAAATAACTAAAAATAACTCGTCAGCTGTACGCCGTAACGGCGCTTCGTTACCTCGCGACCACCACCAGTTGCGCACGGGCTGTGTGTACCGCGAGGACTCCCACCCCTACGCGGATTCGAACTGGTGATCTTATGTTTGCAAGCCAGGCGTGCAGACCACTCGGTCAGCGGCCGAATTCACGTGTGCCCTTTTGGGTAGCTCGCCTCTATATTGTCTCGAACCGGCGATCTGTAGATCACAAGCCAGACGACTGATCCACTCGGTGACCTAGTTCTCCCAACTACGTTCATTACTAGTATACAATGAACATGGAAACAGCTGGCTTTCTACCATGCATAGTACGTGACCTTGCTAACGTAAACAATTCGTGTTCGATAGGCTCCCAGTGATGCACTGGTGTGTCTGCCAGACTTCAGTACTACTCACTATGATAGACCAAAAGCGCGTACTACTGCCCGTGTCAGTAGTATAGAAATACGCAGGAAGCCAGACGGTACCGGGCCAACAGCGAATCATACCAGCGCCCCAACAGAGGGAAAACGCTTTTGATCCACAGATGTATGTTCAATAAGAACAGCTAGAAGCAGCGCACATTACACAACCTAAAGGCGAAAGTTCTAGTATGAGTGGAGCAGTTGATGCTCAGAGCTGATGCATACAGTTAATGTTGTTTGACACGGTAAACAACTGTTCGCATCATGGGTTCTTGCAACTGGACTCTCCCATCAGATGTACGCAATAATTGCAGACATTGTTGATTAAACACGGTCACTCTCACGATTTCCTCAGCGCACGCAATCCATTTTTACATCAACCATTACGCTATCTCCACAAGTAACGGAGACGTCGTAAAGCCATCCGAATCTTCCCAATGCGAGCAGTGACTTGCACCACATTGGGCACAGGTGATGGTGACCCAGACACTTGGATGAGCAAGGACAATCGATCAACCATTTTTGTAGCACACGAACTCTGCTGCCCCACGCGAAGTTGCTGTTTGTTGATGTCCGATATAATTCTCCATGTTTATGTGATTAAATTCCTATATTGAGGAAGCTGCGCCTACCACCACCGTCGCCCCGTTTCTTCAACACCTTCCGCTGTTGACGGACACAGCCAATGTTGTTTCGTGTACCTTGTTCATTCATTAGGCCACCACAGACCCGGAAATAACACTGGTTGTACCGTGTCCAACGAAGACAATCGTTGATTAAAATCTTCGTTTGCCATCACAAGTTCGTAGGCACGTTGGTAAGTGGACAATTTGGTCGACACCGTAGGTATTTGCTTCTTTGGCTGTAAATTGATTTTTCGGCATTTCTTTCTGATTACTACGAGCTGATAGCCGAGTTATTCTCTAGCCCACTATCACCGCCAGTAAAATTGTTACACCATTTTCTAAATTTAAACTATATAACTCCGGGATTTAGAGCAACCCAGTATAACCGATTTCAAACAACCCCAGACATATCACCTTTCCATTGATTAACACAACTGCAGAATCTTCTCCAAGAGGAACTAAAGAGCTGGGGTCTGCTGGACACGAAGATTTCGATTGCATTTACACAGACCGTTCTAGTTATAGCCCGATTTATCAACTCTTGACCTACCTGTTTCATTTGATTTTTGGATACAAGTTAGTTTTGGCATCAGGTTGTTCTGATCTTTGGGGCATAACGTTGTGTTAACCTATGGTCGCGAGTTTCGTTGATCTGCGCTCCAGGAAATACACCTTTCCAGTACCTCCCATTATTGTTCTGTGTACGAGCTCTGTTTTGCGTCAACCTGGAACGGAGTTGCCGCTTTCTGTGCACGGCTGGATTTGTGTCTGTGCTTGAGTTTGATTGGGAGCCGTTTCAGTGTTACTCGGCCCTTCTTGTACGAAGCCCCTAATAGCGGATCAATGCTAGGTAATCCACCACCACACTTTTTATAACGACGAAGCCTTCCTCGCAGTGGGCGTGACGCCTCCACAGCAGGTGGCCCGCCTGTAGGTTATACACGATGCGTTTTTTTAGTGATACTGACGACCCACTTTTGCTAGCCAAAGCGGTGAT